GTGAAAGGAGGTAGGGGATGTTTAATATAGAAATTGAGTACAGACAAAATATTAAGAACTCAGCAGAAACTCATACATTTATTGAGAAGATAGTATGTTACATAAAGAATATTATATAAAAAGAAGAATCTATGAGAATAATGGATTCAGAACAATAAGGAATAGACTTTGAGATAGAGAAGAGAAAAAAAGGACAGAGGTTGTATAAAGCATAGGGCAGGGGTCAGCAACCTACGGCCCACGGAGGCCTGCCAACTGGCCCCTGCCCGGTCCTGCCGCCACCACCGCCTTTCGCGGTCACAGGGGTCCTCCGGGGAGCCATTTTGTGTTCCAAAATGGCACCCGGAGTCTCGCGCAACCTTTCCCATCGACAGGAAAGGTCACACAAGACTCCGGGCACCATTTTGGAACACAAAATGGCGTCCTGGAGGACCCCTGCGGCCGCCAAAATGGTGCGCATGCTCGTGCGACGCAGGGTGCCATTTTGGTTTCAAAAATGGTGCCCCCACGCACACATGCATACAACGGTGGGAGTCGTGCGCATGCGTACACGTGGGGAAGCGCGCACGCATGCAAGCGCACACGCTGGCTCCCAGTGCCGTTTCCCCCCCCACCCGCCAGCAAAAAAGGTTGCTGACCCCTGCTATAGGGTCTTATATTAAGGGACTAGGTAAGTATATAGTTAAGGAAGAATAAAACTAGGTTAGTTAATAGGAAGAGGGAAGTAGCTGTCCAAATGAATATTATAATGAAGTGTTGAAAACAATGGGACGAGGGACCATAATGATACCTCCGATCAAGACTAGATAAAACTAGTTATTTTATACGATTATGGAAAGTTGTATGTGATCTGCACAAGAAGCATCTTTAAGAATCTGTTGAATGTGATTTTTAATGCATGTACTATTTTTTAACAATAAAGTTTTTTAATTAAAAAATCTTAAAATAATAATAATAATAATAATAATAATAATAATAATAATAATAATAATAATAATAATAATAAATGTGCCACAGCTGTGATGCACTTACCTGAAAGAGCTTTACCCGGTACCAACTATGCTAAGTTGTATGTTGTTGTGCCTGATGGCTGAAAAATCATCCTGAGAGACTGAGCTCATTTTCGGATGATGCAGTTCAGCACTTGGATAGCCACCTTGAGTCCCATTTGGGGAGAAAGGTGGGATATAAATCCCTTAAATAGATAAATGAATAAAATTGGGTTCAGGCTGAACCCCAGGGTGGATTCACAGCCCATCAATATGCAAGCTGACTCTGACTCTGTGGACTCTTCTTTGCTGCCTTTGTGGAATTTTAACATGCAGTTTTTCTGATGTTTCTTTTAAATCAACATATAGACTCGGGTATAAATTGAGAAAATTTGGTCAAAAAACTGATCCCAAAAACCTGGGTTGACTTATCCATGGGGTCATATCAAAATCCATAATTTTGGGCCCCAAACCTGCCCTTGACTTATACATGAGGTTGACTTACAACAGGGGTCGGCAACTTTTTTTGCTGGTGGGCCGGGGGGGGGGAATGGCGCTGGGCACGCGCTTGCACACATGCACGCATGTCTCACACCGTCGCATGCATGTGTGCGCATGTGGGGAGAGCCATTTTGGAAACCAAATTGGCGTCCTGTGGCGCGCGCGCATGTGCAAGACGGCAGGACGCCATTTTGGAATGCCCAACAGCACCAGTGCCATGCGAATGCACGCGCAAATGCAGGCACCATTTTGGTGTCCAAAATGGCGTCCACGCTTGCACATGCATGCGCATGGCCGCGGGCACCATTTTGGAACGCTGAACGGCGATGGCCAATGTTGTTGAGCATTCCAAAATCATGCCCGCCGTCATGTGCGTGCGTGCGCAAGTGTGGGCGACATTTTGGACACCAAAATGGTGCCCACACTTGCACGTGGTGCGCAGCGCAGTGGTGGTGGCGGGACCGGGCAGGGGCCGGTTGGAAGGCCTTGGCAGGCCGGGTGCGGCCCGCAGGCCATAGGTTGTCGACCCCTGACTTACAGTGTGTGTGTAGGAACCAGTGTGGCATAGTGGTTTGAGTGTTTGACTATGACTCTGGAGACCAGGGTTCAATTCCTCACTCTGCCATGAAACCAACTGGATGGCCTTGGGCAAGTCACACCCTCTCAGCCTCAGGGGAAGGCAATGGCAAACCTCCTCTGAGCAAATCTTGCCAAGAAAACCCCATGAGAGGTTTGCCTTAGGGTCTTCATAAATTGAAAATGACTTGGAAGGCACACAACAACACAAACATACATATATACTGTATGTATAGACACACACATAGATCAGCTGATTTTACTGGTTTGTACTTGTACATTTGTCCTCCCCTCCCAGAATAATTTTGATCATTCGTTCTGCACTTTGCTCCAGTTTAGAAACAACCTTGTCAATTTTTTTTTTGGCAAAATTAACAGCAATGATGTATATGCCTCAGATAACAATATTTAAATTATGCATGTGAGAGCTTGGACTTCATAAAGAACTTTTTTCCTATTGCCATAGTTCCATTATGGTACAGGGTTATGAATTATGGATAGGATAGGCATCAGGTATAGATCATGAAAGAAGCCTTCTGGTCCCCGATAGCAGACTTTTTGCTCAGAGTCTAGACAGCGTCTAGTCCTGACAGTGCTGCGTATGGCTTAAAAAGCAGATTTCCTAAAGCTGTTGCTCTTCTTTCCAGCGCTCATGCAACGTCTTGTCATTGATGCTAAATCAAATCACCTTACAGGCTCTTTCCTGCCATTTCGTCGGAGTTTTGATGGCTTGTGTTGGCAAAAAGCGTCACTTTGATTACCGTCAATGCGCTGGAAACTCGCCCCCGTTGCTAATCTGATTTGGCAGGATTGATTTTGCTGCCGCAGTTACGAGAAGACAGCAAAGCAGAGACAACGCCGCTCAGTCTGCCCAAATCAGCTTTGCCAGTGGATATGAATTGCGTGCCCTCCGATATTTCACAGGTTAAAACCAGGACATGTCTGGCCAAGCAAGATTTTGCCTCCTCCTCTCCTTTTCCCACTATTTGTCAACTCCTTTTTGCACATTGAACTCAGGTCCCCCATGACATCCTTGCAAAGAAGGTAGTAAAATATGGACTAGACAATGCAACTGTTAGGTGGATTAGTAACTGGTTGAGTGACTGAAGCCAAAGGGTGCTCAGCAATGGCTCCTCTTCTTCTTCGTCCTGGA